CTCAATTGTTGAGCTCCCAGTCCCACCAGGACTGGATTCGAGCATTGGCTTCCATCAACATTCTGGTGGCTCCAGTCATTCTAGGAGGTCTCACCAACCAAGAGCAGCAGAACCTCTGGTCCACACGAGTGGAGGCTCTCAGCCAGGTGCCTCCGCTTTTCTCAGCCATCAAGTTGGTCAAGACTCAGTCCGGCCTCACATGGGACACCGCCATGTCTGTGCGGCGAGTCCTTACCAGCGACGGACGAGTCACCATAGCCACAGGCTCTGGAGAAGCCTACCAGGAGCTGGATGCTCCCACAAAGGTGCATGGCCTGATCCATGCCTGTTTCAACAGGTTGTGGGACGAGAAGGAGTTCCAACGGCACTTCCCAACGCGGATTGAGTTCAACATGATCGCTACTACAATGATGACGGTCTACAACGAAACTGCAAAATCCGCTGGACTCCCAGCTAGGATGTTCAGGGTCAAACCCAATAAAGATGCCTATTCCGTCATGAAGATGCGGATTCAGCATGACAAGGGGATTGAGGAGGACAGGCGCATGGCTAAATTGGCTGCGGCTGCCGCACCCAACAAGCGCCCGCAGGTGCAGGAGGCAGACACAGAGGGCAAACGCCAGCGCGATGCCCCTTCATCTTCATCCTCGAGTCAGTGGGCCAGGCCGGCACGCTCCTCTCAGGAAGAAGACTGGGACTGGTGGCAACAGTGGTCCTGGCACGGCTACTATCATTCTTCACAGCAGTGGCCGCATGGTCACAACCAATGAACCTAGAGCAATGTCACAGACTCCCCAAATCCCGTATGGCTGCCTCTGGGAATTCGATGCTCTTCCGACGCTTCTGCAAATCTCTTCGGAAGCTGCAGTGCAGAGCGATCACCAAGGCAAAATGCAGGACTCTGCACTCCGTCTGAGCTGATCCGATCAGTCAGCTATCACAGTTTGACTCAATCAGCTCTGCAGGTACGCGCATGTGATCTTTACGGCCTTCTGTCAACAGCATGAGTAATCCGTGTGGGACGCCACGAGACGGATGCTCCAGGTGTCGGCTTCGTCTGAAGTACGGCCTACTTGCTGGGACACGTGCACAGACGGACGCGTCTGTTCACAACAAGGTGTCGGAGGAGGAAGCCATAGTTGCAACTCAGTAACTGAGTAGACTGAGCAGATTGAGAGGTTTGAGCGATGAATGCTAGCAGCAGTTTCACGAGTGCACGAGACCAAAGGCGCCCGCAAAGCGCAGAGCACGCTCGCGCAGCGTTCAATTGAAAATAGTAGTAGTAGTAGTAGTAGTAGTAGTAGTAGTAGTAGTAGTAGTAGTAGTAGTAGTAGTAGTAGTAGTAGTAGTAGTAGTAGTAGTAGTAGTAGTAGTAGTAGTAGTAGTAGTAGTAGTAGTACTAGTAGTAGTAGTAGTGGCAGTAACATATCTAGATGATATTCTCAAGATTCATATTGGCATGACTATTGCTTTGACCCTTCCCATTGCCATGCTAATCGGGAATTGTATCAGCATCACGGTCCTGGACGAGTGATGATGATATAACAGACTGCAAGACGTCGCTAATTCTGCAAGCTGTCCTTCTCCCACAGACTTGGCTCAAGGTCTCTACAGTTAATCTTGTCAGACGTGCAGCTGCTCAGGTCGATGTCAGATTACCACAAAGGAGAAACCGCCGTAGCAGTCATTCGCGTGCAGAGAAGACTGGGACCGGCCATTGCCACGCGCGGAGTGGACCATGATGGAACCAAACCGCTACTAGGCGCCAAGTGGCGCTTTGGCCGAGGCAATTCCGTGAGCTCTCAGGACTCGACGGCTTGGCATGGCTTGCGCTTTCTGTCATGCCTGCGAGGCCGAGCCAGCCATCATGAACAAGATACCTCGCGGTCGCACCCCCGCTAGCTTTGCGGCAGCGGCGGAAGGCTTGGTTGAAAGTGCAGGCATCTTGGAGCGGCAGCATGAGAACTCTTGTTGACAGACTGCAGGTTGTGTATGGTGAACCTCAGAGGATGCCTTGTGTGGCAGGAAGTGGCATCTCTGTTCCGGAGACAGACAGTGTCCCGCTACCGAATTTCGGAGCATCCAAGGCCGATGAAGGGTTACCTGGATTTGTGTTGTCGACGCTTTCGAGTCATGTCAGGACCGGAACGGAGGGAGCGCGGCCCAAAGCGACAGCACAGATGCGCGGACGTCGGCTCCGAGCTCGCTCCGCGTCACGGGAGAGGCGCGAAGGGCAGAGGGCAGCACCCGTTCGAGCGTAGTGTCAGCGCCACATGCTGAGGGTGGTGTGAACCCAGCAAAAACTGTCTGAAAAGCAAGAGATCCGAATCAGCAAGCAACATTTTGCAATGCAACACCAACCCAACATTTCAATTTCGAGTCGCAGGGCTCTTAGGGTTTGGCATCGGCGAAGGAGTTTGTGCCATCGTGGTTATGATTCTGAGCTTGCGCTAGCTGGGTTCGGCCGCCAGGCCAGGTCGGGCCATCAGGCCAATTGAGTTGATGTAGAAGTTCCTGTCAGGTTATGTCAGGTAGGTTTGGTTCGACTGCAAGTCCAAGTATCGTCCTCCTGGCGGGGTTTCGTTTCATTTGGGTTTTGTGCTTCGGCTTCGAGAGTGCGAGGACATGTGCATGCTCTCAGCGGGAGAATCTTGCAGGGCTTGGATTTGGTTGGCAAGTCCGTCATCTTTCAGTTCTGTTGTGTGGTATAACCCTTCGCTTCAGCTGAGCTCCGTGACGTTGTAGCCTCCAAATTCTCACAAGCCTCGGGTTGACAGTACAGAGTTTTCTTTCTCACGTGCGAAGCCGACAGGCGTTGGAGGGCAGACGAGTGCAGGCCAAGCCTCCCAGCGCCTCGCTGCCTGCGCAGGCGTCCTCGAGTCAGCCACAGGGTGATGCCAACACGGCAAGGACGCCCCGATCGGAAGACGACAAGGTTCGCAAAGAGTGTCGGGTTACCGCGTGATGCTTTAAATTACTTAGACAAGGCCGATGCCGATACGAGCAGCAGTAGTGCTGCGGAGGATCGACGCTTGACCAAGTACAGACAATAACGGTAAGTTATACTCTGAGCAGCAACCACGAAGGGAGTCAGCAGCGTTTAGGGTCTCTGCGCTTGAATCGACGTTGCATCTCAGGCGAAGCGGCTTTTCTACTGGGTCCGTCAGAGTTCCCCAGCAAGTTGGTGTTCTCGGCATCGCGATTGCCCGGCGTGGGATGGAACAGCTGCTTGGATGCAGGCTGTAAACATGCCTCGAAGCGTAGCGAAGCCTGCTCAGAGTCTGCACGAAATGTCCATTGCGTCACTATCATGTTGACGCGTCCATTGAGGCTTTGATACCCGCGTGGAGGGCGTGCGGCTCAGTCCAGACTTGCATAGCGGGGAAGAACGGCCTGGCCCGGCCTGGCCCGGCCTCAGGTCTCAGCTCTCAGAGGCAAGTTGTGCTTAGCGTGACTCGGATCAATAGGCTCGTGACTCGTAGCTTCGCAGAGGCGCAGGTGCAGCTGTGGTCTGTGGCTGTTTGGGTGCATGCCGTAGGGGCAGCTCGAAGCCGAGGATGTTCTACGCCTGAATCAGGGTCTGGAAGGGCAGCAGCTCTCGTTCGGCTCAGCTTTGCACATGGGCGACGGGGTGGATCCGCTTTGCCTTGTTTGTAGCCACCTGGCTTGAAAGCTTGGGCAAAACTTGGCAGTCGTCACTCCGAGGCCTCTTTTTTTTGCCGATCGTCTGAGGTTACCACAAGCCGCCGAGACGCTTCTGCACGAAAGGTGCTTTTTGCGACTTTTGCCATCTACACAGTGGCCGAAGAAAGAAGAAACCAAAGGCTCAGGCGTGGTGACTCCTGACGATTGAAGGGAGGCTTGTTCAACATGCAGCATGCAGGTGACTTGAACTTGTGCTGATCCCTGAGGCTAGTCAAGCCTGGCCACCAGACGTACCCGTGGCATACGGTTTGCAGAGACCGCTGCAGCCAGGCATCAGCACCACGCCAATCCTTCGAGGCATACAGCTCTGAACTGAGAACTATTCCATAGCTGGGCGCCACCAACCGCAGTTGGCGGGACAGGCCCAAGCTCTTGCGCAGGACAGCCGAGTGGTTGTCACTTGGACACCTCATTTCGACGAAGCATTGGAGCACTAACATGGTGAAGTAAGCGGGGCTCTAACATGATTGTGCGAAGACGGATTGCTGTTCGGCGACTGTCGTCTTGAGAAGTCCAGTGGTGCCAGTGCCGGGCCAAGCAGCTGTTTATACCAGCTGCTGCAGTTATGCGGTCAGCGTGTAAGCCGGCCCGGCCTTTGCTGAGACGCCTGGAAATTCCCCCACCCTTTGACGCGACTCTTAGTTTGAATTTTTTGGCGCGTGAAGCCTGCCCGAAGCACTTTTTAGACTTAAGCTGTGTGCGGACGGGCCACGCAAGGAAGGTCTGCTTTATTATGCAGCACCTCGAGCATGCAGTCCCCGAATAGTTTTTTACTTTCCGTCGGAGATGCAGCTCGCTGATGGCCTTGTGTGTTTAATAGAAAGCTCTCTTTCAAGTTACTTGGAGGACCTGCAGCGCCACAGTTTTCCTTTGACACCCCGGATCAGTAGAGTCATCAGTAGAGACAGTCCAGGGTCAAAAGTGGAAATCGGTGCTGCTGGCCGAATCATGAACGTTCTCGGCTTCGGCTGTGATGGAGCAGCGCAGCCCCACACTACCGTGGTGGTGTTAGGGCAGTCAAGCTGTATGATCAGCAGCACGGCGAATGCTGGATGTACAGGGACACAAAAAAACTGATTCTCAGCAAGTTTCACATACCCCACGTGGATGAATAGTTGGGCGAAGACGCACAAACCCGCCTGCACCCAGTTCCTGCCAGTCAGTTTTTTGGGAGTGGTCTAGCTGGCTTAAGCTATCGATGGAAGCATGGTTCATCGGCCACTAGAAGGAGAGTATTTGGGTCACTCTATCTACGCATGCCTCGCATAAGTCAAATCAGGGTTCGGACGCGCCAGGATCAAAGAGTGCTTGCCACCGCCATCAGCGGACACTCTGGTGCTGATGTGTGGGCCGCGGCAGCCCAAGCAGTGGATGTGGAGAAGCTGATAAGCCTCATGTTCCATGGCAAGACGTAGCGTGCGATGTCGGGATTTGTGTGCCCCAGCTTTCACTTGAAAGAGGCCTCCGATGATCGAATTTGCGTGCAAGAAGAACCTGGAGGTCGGAGCCTGTCCCTATGCTCCTTGTGCATATAGGTTTGCACCAGTCCCAAGAAGGTTTTTCCCAGCTACGCCCACACGACCGTTTATGTCAAAGAGTGTGTCAGATGCGATCACCTTCAGATGACTGCCTTTTTCGTCTCGGCAGTGCATGTGTTTGACATGTGGGCATTCCGTCCGGCGCTTGGGGCCGACCGACCACGCAAGGATCCAAAGTGTCCACGCGTCCCAAGTCTGGAACAATGAGCCCTTCGGTTTGGCCGCCAGGCACTTGGCTACGAGAAATCGAAGATGGTGTCCTTCTGAACTGAGCGCGCAGCTGGTTCCGAGTGCCTGGGTCAAAGACTTCACGCAACAGAAACGCCTCTGGTGCAGTGCAGTGGCAAAGCTGGAGCATCATGCATGTTGCAGAATCATATAGACCGAGCTGGAGATTGGGATGCGGGGTTTGAGCAAAGGCATTTGTGAGACGCCATCAGAGGATGCTTGGGGACTTGCCAGCCTGCGATTCAATGTGTGTACAGGTTTTGCTTTCGTGGGCAGCTCTACACCGGAGCCCACAGAAGAGACTTGCAGACCCACAGTCGAATCGACATGTTAGCGGGCTATGCGCGGAGTAGCAGAGCTGGCGGTTTCTGTGATGCGATGTAAGAAGACAGGCAGACATTTGTGGCGCATGTTTGCTTAGCTGGCTCCCTGATGGTGTCTAAGAAGGTTCACAGGAATGCCGGAGATCCTGTAGACAGGCAGCTGCTACCCATGCGTAATAGTCGCCCACACCGCCACAGCGACTCTGTGCCTTTGCCAGAGCAGGATACCGTGCAAATGTTGCAAATTGGAGCACAGTAGACAGGAACCTGTTGCCTCCCAAGGGTACAGTACCATCCAGGGGCAGAAACACACCCAACCCAGGAATCCACAGAATCCGAGTAGATTGGAGCTTGGAGCTTTCCGGCCATATCCACGGGACCGACTGACTTGCTGTGTTCTCCGCACTGCTACATGCTCGCTCAGTGTGCTATGCTTGAGGAGTCCAGCCAGGCTCCTGGACTCCCGGGGCGTATGCCATGAGCAGATACTTGGAGTGACCTGGCGGCAAGGAGGTCGCAACCGCTGGGATCGCGTCACATTTTCGTCCCAAGAATGTCTCTTCGATGTGTCAGCGATCGGTGGGCAGGTACAGCAATCCAAATCTGAAGCTGGATCCTCAGGCCTGGAGAAGGCGTTGAGGCTCAGGTACTGGCAGCAGTAGAGTCAGCACTCTAGCAAACCGGCAGCCGGCAGCTTTGCTCAAGTCGTCGCATCTTGGAAGGTGGAGGTTCGCCAACGTAACTCGCGACGTTAGATCAGCGGCCTGTCACACCACAGCGTTCTCCATCAGGATCGTACACCTCTAATCCTGTGTAGCGCAGGGGCGGGCACTTCATTGCATGCAAGCGCAATGTATCATGCACCAGTAAAGACTGCTCTTTTCCGGACCAACCAGCGCATACACACCTACATGTCCACCATCGAAAATCAACAGTAGAATTAGGCCGTTCGAGCGGCCGTGCGCCTTTCTGCTACCTGATGTGCCATGCGGCCCTGCGCAGCTCTTGTGGCTGTGAGCATATTCGCCAGGACATGCAACCATACGGCTTTCAGCAAGCACGCTCGCCTTGAGATAGGCTTCAGACTCACGCGAAGTCGGATTGGATGAAGGGGGCTCCTTTCAATGCTCTTTGCGAGGCAAGGCTGCCATCTCCTTTCGCGGCCTTTCTGCGAGGTCACTTTTTGTGCCATCGTGGGCATGGGCATGGATTGCATATACATCTCGCGCAAGAAGCACTGGCGCCAGTGTTTCCCGCGAGATTGCCAGCGAGGTCATCGTGGTCCGTCATGGTGAGACAGAAGCCTGGCAGCAACAACAAGCGAGGTTGGGATCCAAAGCTACTTGCACGGAAAGTTGCCCATGTACCTAGGACTGGAATCAACAGCTGCGAGTGCAGGGGACAACGGACATCAACCTGAATGAGCGCGGACGCCTGCAAGCACAAATGCCCTTCGGATAGAAAAGCTGACGGAATGTAGCTGATGTCCAACTCTAGCTGGCTTTGAGATTGGCAGCAGCCCGACTCCTTCGTTGACCGGTATGGTACCAGAGTGTTCTGGCGGCTTGGTAGGATTTCTCATCAGCCGAGGTGTGCACGGGCGCTGACGACTCTTGGCGATCTCCGCACCGGTTGTCTAGCGCCCATTGCATTTAGACGAATGGGATCCAGAAGAAGCGAAGGTCTTCGAGCTATGAAGTTAACGAGCTGACATCCACGTAGAGATACCGACCTACGGGTTGGAAGGACTTTTAGACCCTTCTTTTGCCTCAGGAAATTGTTGGAATCGCGTGAGCCCCCTCGCACCATCTACTCCAGTGACTTGGGCTCAGCCGTTGTGTTTACCTGCGGGATTTGCTGCGTGTTGCGCGACGAGTGATCCCGATGATTTGCTCCATTCTAGCCTCTTCTTCCCGCCTCGGCCCACGTCAGAGAGGCGAGCTGCGACGTGCCTCACTGACGGCTTCAGCCATCGCAGCATCTCTCGGCAAATCCGTGGAAGTCCGGGAGGAAGCAAGCAATACCAGTAGCATCACCGCAGACGTTTCGTCTTTCTTGTTCCCATGTCGAATGTATGTCCTCGGTGTAGAGCGCCCTCAAGAACTTGGCAATCGGGACGCAGAGTTGTTCGACCTACCACTTTCATGTCGACTGCTAGGTAGCTTTGCCCGTTTGTTCTAATTACTACCATGCATAGTATTTTGCTCCAGGCACGCCCTTCCAACATTCGCAGATGCTATCGACGGCCATGCGATGTCATGGTTGCAATGACTCGTTCAACTCCTCTTTGTGTTTCTTTCGCAGTCCCCTCATGCCACCCCCAACACTCGCCCGCAGCAGCGTGATTCGCGGACGGCCGTGCTGAAGGCCATGGTGGCATCAACCCCTCACTTCTTACAGTAACAAACTGCTTTATCGGCAAGCTCGAGTGGCAGCTGCAAAGCAGGTTTCATGCAATCAGTATGTCAGTAGCCTCAGTTAGCTCGGCAGCAGTGGTAACGGTAGTCAGGTAGGATTTGGGGTGGGAGTCGAAGTCGGAGAGGGTGCTGACGTTGAAGTCGAGTTGAGGAGGGAAATAGCGCACCAGTGCATTGCTTTGCCGGTGTATCCAAGTCTTCAAATCGCCAGGACCCACGCCTCAACGAGTGGAACCTTGGGTCCATCGAGGGCATGAGAGCCTCGCCCGGCAGGACAGGATGCTCCGGAGCGGGTGTAAGTGTGCACCAGCCTTTGAAGTGTCTTAAGTCTTAAGTCGTGCCTGTCTGTCTGAAGCGAACGTGCGAATGTGCCTAGGAAAGGCCGATGCTGCCTCTCGCCATGCAGATGACTGGGCCGTCTTCAGTGAGCCTGGCATGTTTGCCCACGGTGCAGTTGGGGCCTTGTAGGGTGCTGCATCGAGGCCAGTGGTGTGCTACCAACGCTGCTTGGATGCACAGTTCATGATGAGGCTCGTGCCGCACCGGACCTGGCCCAATGCCAAATCCGACGCTTCGCCAGCTTGTAGTTCCTAAGCACGAGCTGTAGTATGCCAGTTACGAGTAGAGCCATTCTAGGAGCGCCACCGAGGCTCCAAGGACATTCCAAGACCACAGAATGCGAAAGACTGTGCTAGAAGCACGGTAAGAATCCGCAACGCGCTGTAGCGGGAACACGAGTCGCACCCAAAAAGCATTTGGAGGAGTGTGGCGGGAACCCGAATTTCGATTGCGGAAGCACTACTCCTACCCAGCCATGCTCCACGGTGGCGGGAGCACGATCTCGGAAGGTATGAATGTGCAGGACTATGGCAAGAGGACGATGCACACTCCACAGGAATGTGCGAGAGCAAGATTGAGAATCGAAGGCCCTTGGATTTCAAGACTACACACCCTGGAGCAAAAATATCGAAATGCGCAATTCGCACGAGTTTGCGTGAATCTGTATCCTCGGCGGAGGCAGCCAGCGGACCGTGGAATCTGTGCGGTTTCAGTCGAATGTGTGCACTGTGCCGTGTGCACTTGATCGCAACCGCAGCAGCAGCACGAAGGCCACGTGAAGGCCTCGTTGTCTACCGTAGCCATAATCCCATCAAATCTCTTTAAGGCACTGCACAGTGCGGGGACAGTCGAACAGTCGGGCATGATACAGTTCGCTGCATGTACTTCCCATCATTTCTCTGTTGTTTCTACCATTGTCACAACAAAATGTGTCGAGCAAAATGTGTCGAGCATGAAGTTATGAAGAGCATCAAGGTGGCAGAAGAGGTCACAAAGTATCCCATCTCCGGAGGTGGCGAGCCATGGCATCATTTCAACACATATAGGTTTTCAGAGCTTGTTCGCAATACTGCTGCCACGCCGTGGTGAATTACATGAAGGTCAGGATTGGTTTTCCAAACCTCGCTATCTTCCAACAAGGGCACGTTTCGGTCTAACTATGATCGCTTCCGTCATTTATTGATCACCCCCCTGCCAAAGTGTCTTTATTGTTAGGGGGCAATGACCTCTTCTAATTTGCATTAGGGGGGTCCGGAGCAAGAGCAGGAGTGAGAGCAAGAGCAGGAGCAATAGCAAGAGCAGGCGCAACAGCAGGAGCAAAAGCAAGAGCAGGAGGAGCAAGAGCAAGAACAAAAGCAACAGCGAAATCGAGAGCAAGAGGAAGAGCCAGAGCAGGAGCAAGAGGTAAGAGCAAAAGATAGCAAAAGCAAAGGTGAGAGCAAGAGCAGGAGCAAGAGCAATCACAGCAGGAGCAGGAGCAGAAGCCAGCGCGGGAGCAAGAGCCAGAGCAAGATCCCTCAAAAGTGACAGTAGAGATATAGATATCCCCAATGATATGATAAAACACCTTCCGAGTTTTTATTGGGGGGAGGCCCCCCCCGTTTAATAATTGGTGGAAGGGATTAGCTGTAAGCACGAGTTCCAGCTGCGAGGAAAGCATGGAGGAGGTACGCCAGCGGGCGGCTCTTTGCATTGAGGAGGCCAGAAATGTCACGCGTGCTGTCCGGTGTCTGCTTAAGACCTATCCGGGCCACCAACCTCTTGCCGATACCGCTGTACACAGCGGCTTACGAACATACATCATTCTATATTCAGGAAGGTGCTTGTGACAATGAACACCAGGCGTGCCAAGCATCCCCATGCGGACTGGTCATCGCCGTGCCTTCGCAGAAGCTGCAGCGATTTGCAGCTTGCATGATGGAATCGTGAGCAGCTGCGTCTCAGGTAACGCATGGCGGCGTTCTTGGCCAGCTGCTGCGCCACTCCGAACCCAACTCTCAAGAGCCACGGGCGACGCCGACAAATGCGTGCGCCAACCTCAGGCTCCGGATGGCTCGGCGAGGCATCGTCGGCTAGAGCGGCTAGAATTGGCTAGAGAGAGACGGAGCGATGCGATGCGATGCGCTCGGAGTCCGAGGCATCAGCCGCTTTCGGGTTCAGCCAGGAGGGGGTTGGAAGGCCATCCTCGCAGCCAGTGTTTACTACAGTCATCCGATATTCCTCGCAGGTGTTGAGCTGGGCATCGTCGGATCACTTGAAAGGAGATGCGTCGCCTGCTGCAGCAACTCAGCCGAGTACCCCAGAGACCTCAGAATGCCTTGGGCATGCTCGGGCCATTGGATCGAACGTTGGAAGACTCTTAGCCTCACCGGGAACGGGATCTAGGAGCATGCGATGATTCGTGTGGTTCTGCAGAAGCCAAGGCGGACTACGGTGCGAGCAAGTGAAAATCGATTGCAAGCGCAACTCACCCCGACACCCACCACAGTCGGCCAAAAGGCCCAGCTGGGGCTTGAAATGCAGCGAGTGAAAGCTGGTGAAAGACGAATTCTTTGCGCCGCTCTTGTGCCACCCTTGTGCCTACTGATTTTGCTTTCCACAGGTGCCTGACTGTCATACGTACTCCTGCCACCCAAGAGGTTTGGCAGCCAAATTGGACATTGACACCATCCATCTACGGTAGCCAAGAAATGGAGTTGAGCGGAAAGCCTTGAACATACGTAAAACTTACAACCCCTAGATCGTAACTGCGAGTCATGAAGCTCTGAGAAGCTAAATCGTGATGTGTTCTCCTTCCGAGGTATTGCGACCTCGTTCGCATAAAGGAGCCACCACCGAGGCCGGGACCCATTCCTTTGTGACGTTCCTTGGTACGGCCTCTTACCGAGGCTTGGCCTGACTTTCATCTTTGGTGTCGAAAAGAGCCGGGCACCACAGCGGCGGCAGGATGAGGGTTCGCGCAAAAGCTGGCACTTGCTTAAAGGTTACATCCTTTTGCAGACATTTTCTAGCTACGCTCTTCTGGATTCACCAAGCTAGAGCAAAGAAGCGAAACGAAAAGCAACGACACGACAACATCTAAAGGCTTGGAACCATTGAAACCGTGATTTAAGGAAGCGGGCAGCAACGATTTTGAAGTTTGGAGCATCTCCGAATGCTAAAATCACCAACTTGAGCAGGGTGCCCAAGACGCCGGAAGCATCCGTCAAACGATGCATCTGCAAGTTCCTGATCTTCAGGTTAACCCCCTGACATGTTGCTTCCATTTGTGGCGCTTGCACACACAGCCGGACAGGAGATGAATGGGCAGTTAGTAGGCAAAACAACTCGTCAATCTCCGTCAAAATCGGAGGTTGTTCTTAGCATCTGTCGTCAGCTCAGGCTTCCACGAATACCTGACCACCAGGTACCAAGGCTCAAGCACAGCGCTCCCGACCAAAGTTTCCAGCTGTTCAATTCTGAATGGAACAGATTTTCCGCAGTGCTGACCGGATTTGACAGGGGTTGAAGTTCGCATGCCCCGGATTCCACAGAGAGCCTCTGCGAGCACTCCTGCACGCGCCGCTGCCGATGCCAGGTGCTTTGTGGAGGGCGCTTCGCTTTGGGGCAGTTGTGGCCGCCTAAGATTGAAGTGGATTGGCTGTTCACTGCATGGCACTTCTTAGGATGATTTTCCACTAGTTGGATAGAAGGATCGTCGGAATCGGGGTGTGGCTCCGCTGTGCAGGTGGCCAAACTCGGCATCAACCTTTGCCCTGGGCTCACAGTCCGGGGCGGGCAGCTTTCGTCTTTTGGCAAAGTTCAGAAGCTGAGGCCCTGACCTTCCTGCCGGGTTATTGGCGATGCTCCCAGGCGTCACGGTCCGAAAGGGGTGCGGACGGGGACGGGGGGACTCAGGTACATGCGGGAACAGCTGCCGGCGGTCACCGAGGGCAGGGGCCTCGGCCTCCGAAGTTGGGCCTCTGTGCAAACAGCGCTGTGCTGAGGACCAATCTACCTAGATCCCCTCGGCCTGGTGCAGCTGGTGCCTCGTCTGCAAGCCGAAGCCTGGCCGTGAATCTTCCCTGGGAAATGGCTTCATGTCCAGTGCAGCGCGGCCAGGTCCTGGGAATCACCATTTTGGTTTGTTTCGTCATCTCGCCGCTGCCTTAATTTGGACTTCAACTCAGGCGCTTCCGGAGCATGTCCTGGTTTGTGTTGTGGCAATTTCGCAGCACAGCATGCGTGTACAGCACGTACCTAACTAACCATTACTCGTGCTTCTGCTGCCAAGGGCCACAATCAACCCTGGCATCATCCCCAGGAATGAGAAAATGCCCCAGGCCGGATGTCAGCCTCAATCAATATGCGCTTTGATCTGCTTTGGCGTCCGATGTCCTTTTTGTAGCCACCGCTTCTCGTGTTTCTGGCATCTACACGGATGAAAGCTGCAAGCATGATCAGTGCCAGAAAACTGACAGCAGGTTTGTCACATGCATGCAGGAGCTGGAACAGCACCTGGACCTGCGAGGTGTGCCTTGCCATCGCTTCCTGTCTCTCGGCTTCAGAGCATTCCTGCCCCGACATGCTTACCTCGCTGTCAAAATGGCTGTTGAAGCAGCTCCACCTGTGGTTCCGTTTTTCAGGAAGATCTGCAACATCACACTGAAGCAGAAGTGCGACACAGAAATCATGTCGTCTTCATCCTCGTGCATGATGCGGGGGGGGGGGGGGAGGTACTGCTCAACTTGCAACATCTTCAGACCTCCGCGCTCCAAGCACTGTTCCTTTTGTGTGCCCGCCATGCTTTGCAGCTGATATTGAAGTTCGCCTACCCCCGAAAGCATACCCGACAAGGTGACAACTGCGTGCTGCGGTTTGATCACCATTGCACATGGCTCGGGAATTGCGCCAGGCACTAAGATTCATTTGTACTACCATATTTCCAGATGGCTTGAGTCCAGAATCCAACACCATGGCAGCAGGGGAGTCCAGGTTTCCACAATTCAGCTTTCGTTGACTAGGTGGCACTCTACAACTACCGCTATTTCGTGGTCTTGATCTACTCAGCCACGATCTTCTTGATGCTGTCAGCTGCCTTAACTGCACAAGCCTGGCTTAGGGGACCTCAAAGGATCGCAGTATTCTCTCAAATCTGTCAGGTGCATCTATGTGAACACTGTCGTCTACGGCCTGCAGGCTAAGAGACTTCTTGCAGCTAGTTTGGGGGCCTGCATGTCAAATAACGATTTTGCAGGCACATCAGCAGTTTGGCCCAGACTACGGCTTCCTGGATGTGCTGTGGGTCCTTACTCAGGTGGCCGCTGCAGCACAACACCCATAATCACATGTAGCTGGCTCTGGGCAACTTGCAGGATGCTTGGTTGCTTTTATTCTTCTTGTACTGCCTCTTCTTGATGCTAGCTGTCAGGGCCTCGGTGTAAAGGCCGAGAGCTTCCATCTGGTGTGCAGCGCAAGTGCGCAGGTCCTCCTGCTCTCTGTCTACCACACGGTGATCTCTATCCAGAACTTGACAACGAACGAGCATGTGCCGGCCTTGCAATCCTACATCCTTGCGTTGCCGAAGAGCCGTTGCCCTTGGAACCTGCAGTGAGCTGAAGGTCAAGAACTACTATAGGGATGGACAGAACCCCTTCGACTTTGGCCCGCAGGGGGCTTGGATTGGGAGCCTGAGATTCCCAGCGCAACACCGATTTGACAGTGTGACAGCCGAGGATGAAGAACTGCAAGCAGATATACTGCTTCCCAGAGTGATTTGGCGGCATGACAAGAGCCCACGCAGTAGCGACAGTTCCAGTGGTTGTCTTTTAGATTGCCAAAGCTTTGCTTCCGTGTTGCTCCTACCTTTCGTTGAGGCTTGTACTGCCGGAGGGTGAGGACAAGATTGAGGCCTGCACACCTGGCTCATGGTCCGACAGGGATCACCCTGTGCAGAGCAAGCACAGGTTGAGTCAAACTCGGATAGATGCTACACTGCTACACTTCTTGGCTGGGAGTTTGGGTCAATAATGCTCGCTACGGATGTGACTGGGAGGCAGACTACGTGCCCTTTGGGTCCTACTCCGACGGCCAGTCCTTCGACGAACTCTGACGACGTCTGAGGGTTTGCAAGGCTGCGCCAGACCGCAGGATTTTTCTGGGGCTACGGCAGTTATGCAACACTCTCGGAGTCATTCCGACTTTCCAGAATGATGAAACTCGCTCAATTCGCATATTACGTCCCAGATAGCATGCAACAACATAATGTACTCGCACGTCCGCCATGTTGCCATGTCGAACCGCAAGTTTTACCTTCGACGATTCCGTAGGGACATGCTGCAGCTCTTTCCTCTAACTTCTTTGCGCAAGCATGTGCAGCATGTCCAGTGGAGTCCTCGAGCACTCCGTGCAAATCGCGCGGCCTAGGGAACGTTCTGGCAGCCTGCGGAAGCTAACATGCATCATTTCCTTGATGTGCGCACCTGTCACCTTCGGAACGGATGCTCGGTACATGTGCACGCATGCTAGTTTGTTGCATATCCTGCTTGCATCCTGCAGCTGACTTTTTCTAGATGTCAGTTTTTGAGTGTTGAGCGGAGCAAAAGGACTCCCATGGAATTGTCAGAGGCTTTCGTGGCACAGGCCACTGCGCGCGCAGCGGCCGCACACCATGCTCCTCAGACCACTGGTAACACCGCCCTGCCAAGACACAGCGGGGCAAGCCTAAGTGCGGCGGCAGCAGTGGCAACGGTCGGGGTTCTGTCCAGTGCCCGGCGTCATCGTCCAAAGCTGTTGAAACGGCGGTTGGCGAAGGTGACGAAGGCCGCTGTGCCTCCCGAAAGCATCGACCTGCTACACCCACATGTGTGGAGCGGCTTGGAAGAGCAAAGCACTCAACTGCTGCAGCACTTCACACAGGGTTTGCAGGCAGGAGACAGTCCACCCAATGCGGAAGGAGTTGCTGCCGCCGTACAGCAGCTCACTGAGATCTTCTCTGAAGCAGCAGGTCGCCTAGCCCATGAGATCGTGCCTCCAGCCTATGCAGCTGATGCAAAGCCCATTGAACTGGACCCGAACGTGACGTATCTCTACGGGGCAGATGGCGCTGTCCTCGTGGACCCAATGAACAACAAGCCTCTTCCTGATGACTGGTGGAACGGCTTCATCGGCTTCCAAGCCGGTCTCATCAAGCAAATTGACCAGGCCTTGAGGGACAACGGCCGCGGGCTTAGTCACGCCCCTTTCTGGGGGTTAGTCGGAAGTTTCCATGTTTCAAGGCGTGGAGCAAGCCTTCGGGTGGACCATCGTCGCCTACACCGCTTTCATTAAGCTCCTCTTCTTCCCACTGCAGCAGGCCCGAGCCCCTCTGCTCTTCTGCTCAACGCCACCTGGGTACATCTCGAATCTTGCCAGGGCCAGCTGAAGAGCACGTCCATGATGCAGCTGCTGAGCCCGAAGGTCAAGGAGATCCAGGAAAAATACAAGGCCGGGCACAGCCTTGCTTATGCAGCTTTCAATCACTGGCCTCCGCCAACCATGACCTAGCACCAATAGCACCAATGACAACATCATCAAGTTACAGTCGGACGCTAGATGCGCAAGCTTCTGTTTCGGTGTTTCTCGGAACTCGGATACCAAATCACCGGCCTCTGCAAAGAAAGCTGAGGACGACCCGGACACACAACAGCGACTCCTCGGACAGCTCTATGGTGTCATGGACGTCAACCCGCGAGGGGCCCACAGAGAGAGAGAGAGAGAGAGTAACCTTGCAGCCGTGGAGCGGCTAACGGATGGCCCTCAATACGTGATAGCTATTGGCAGTCGACATTGATGTTGTTGTTTGAGTGGTGCTGACAGATGGGGGACATACCGCACTGAACTTGCACTTGCGTGTGTCAAACCAATATAGCTGAGGGGAACCCAGAAACTTCAGAGTCCAATATACTTTCCTTGCATTTCTGGGGGACTTGCTATCTTGTCACACCTCTCCAAAAGCCCCATAACACATGGGGGGCCCAAGTGGCCGGGGAGCTTGACACGCCCTCCACGCCCTGCAGAAGAAGAGAGAGAGAGAGAGACAGCGGGGGTTCTGCCGGTACAGACCGTGTAAAGAGAGACTCAGACTTCGGTGTGCGCTCGCGCGCTCTACTAATAATTGGGATCTTCCGCTGCAGCACAGGGCCTCATCCGGCAGTAGCAGTTACGGACTGAACAACCAGGGCGCGCACGCGCGTGCCGGGGTATGGGCGAACCCTTGCCCTCTTTGGAAGAAGAAAAGCTCAGTCATCACCAGCTTCTCCGATTCATGCAATCGAGACAGCGAGCGGCTCAGGTTGGGAGGATGCCTTCCGGTATTTCTGCAGCTACCCATCTTCTGGTGCCTTGCTTGCACAGGGGTGTAAAATCGCGCCTCGGAGGATATCAGCCTCCACCTCGAAGAAGGGTTCTTTGCGCGGTCGCTACCCTGCGCCTTGTCGTTTCTGTGCCGCCAGGAGTCTCTACGGCGTTTGGCGCCGCCTTGCCGCCGAAAAATTCCCGAACCTCGGCTAAGAGTAAGAGCTCGTTATTGCATGTAGATGCTAGCTAGAATTGCAGATAGCCCGACTTCCGAGTTTACAAGCCTCCTGCCTGCGTCGTAGCTGCGAGGCACTACACTGAGGGCTGGCTCTGGGTGCCGTCTCTGGCACAGCCGAATCCGGACTTCCAGTTCAAGCCGGCATCCCAGAGACTCAAGTACTGCCACCAGTTTGCACACGGAACAACACGAAGTGTGCTCGTTGATCGGTCTAACTATCTATCCATCAACCTACCTACCTACCTACCTACCTATCTGCCTATCTCTGTGTCGTCTGTCTAACTGTCTGGCTGTCTATTTGTTTGTCTGTAGATCTGTCTATGAAACTGTTTATCCACCTATTGTCTATCTCTCCATCTCCATCTCCATCTCCATCTCCCTCCCCCTCCCTCCCTCGCTCTCCCTCGCTCTCTCTCTCTCTCTCTCTCTCTCTTTTTCTCTCTCTCTCTCTCTCTCTCTCTCTGTCTCTCTCTCTCTCTCTCTCTCTCTCTCTCTCTCTCTCTCTCTCTCTCTCTCTCTCTCTCTCTCTCCGACCTATACACATGCTAGCATGCAAGCATTTTCTGCATTGTGTGCAGCATGTATGCACGCATGCCTGCCTCTCTTGCGTTCACCGTATGTATATTATGTACATGTCTGGATGGATGGCTTCTCGGATTCAATGGGTGTAGTGAGTGTAGTGGACGTAATGGCTCTAGTTCACGGATGGATGCACAAATGAATGGCTGGATGGACGGCTCTCTCCGACCTATACACATGCTAGCATGCAAGCATTTTCTGCATTGTGTGCAGCATGTATGCACGCATGCCTGCCTCTCTTGCGTTCACCGTATGTATATTATGTACATGTCTGGATGGATGGCTTCTCGGATTCAATGGGTGTAGTGAGTGTAGTGGACGTAATGGCTCTAGTTCACGGATGGATGCACAAATGAATGGCTGGATGGACGGATGGACGGAGGGAGGGATGGATGCACATGCGTAATGAATGTATTCACCGTCTGCAGATATGGTTCTATGCATATATGCACATGCATGCATCTCGTACTGGAAATCTGGGTCCGAGGTATGACTGGCTGCTGCAGTTCGAAGATGGTAAGCCAGCTATGGGATGGGAGAACTACCTCTCGTACCTGGTGACCTCCCGATGATCCGGTCGCCGCTTCAACTCTTCCCGTGCCTTAGTCTGCTACTAGTACTTGATGCGACATCTTGTCGGAGGTATTTCCCGTCTTGCTGGTTGGCTTCACGGTCTTTCAGCAACAGCAGGTGGGATCCTGACTCCACCTTCCAGCTAAAATGAGCACTCAATTCTCGCAACCAGGGCAGTCCGTGTGGTGTCTGGAGGCTCAAGCCGCTCGCCCAAAGACTGGCAACGAGGAGGATCCCCAGAACCTGGTGCTGCAGGCACACATCCCAGAAATGAATGCATACTGAATGGCATCGATAGTATGAGCATGCATCTTGTCGTTGGGAGCCAGCCTTCGGGTTCAGGTGCTGCCATGGATCTCTGTTTACTTCATCGGCAGCTTGTCCCTGCAGCTTCCGCAGGCAGACCGCGCAGCATTGCTTGACGTCTGCACGGCCTATCTTGTTGGCAGGCCGTGTCCGTGTACTACTCCATGAACACCGCCTTGTCAGTGCTGCAGACCGCCGTCGTCATCGCCTCACGACTTCGTCTGCTAAGCAGAGATTTCCCAGTCGCGCATTGTCGCAGCGTCGCTTTGTCGCAGGTGAAGTACGGATTGCGGCAGGAGATCCCCGGCTATGAGGAATTCGAAAGGAGCCTCACTCAAGCGCTACTGCTCCGCGTGATGTTGCAACCCTGCCCGTCCCATGCTGGCACTGGGGAGGACTGGAAAGTTTCCGGACGGCACTTTCGAGAACATGGTGAGGTTCAGCTCTTCATTTCATTGTTCCTTCGCGGGTTTGCGTCCGGCTCTCCTGATATGAAAGTTCTTGGCAGGTCCCAAACGCCGCCACCGAAGACACTCCACGAGGCAATTCCTTAGACGGCCTGCCTTAGACTTAGACGTTGCCACCATGACCGGGTCTATCATGTTTGCAGCCGGCGGTCCTCGGAGCCCTTAATTAACAGGACGATGCCATTGATGTGACAGTGATAGCCTTATCTTAAACTCTTAAACTTAACCTGAGTTGAACAGGCTGCGCTGAGAGGAGAGGTGGGCCACCTAGACTTGAACCTTCCCGGTGTCGAAAACTGTGAGAGCACCACCGGCCCCAAGTGCTCTCAGGTGAAGTTTATAGAAGAGATGCTGGAAGATGAGAGTCTTGGCATTCATTCCTGCTCTGCACAGTGTCGGCATCCCGTACCCGCGGTCAAGCCATGCCACAGTTGGACATTCTGCCGGCAAGGAGCGTAGACATCAATAAGTGGGACGAGAAGAAGATTTCGCAGACGGCTCAGTCTCCGACTTCTTTGGCTTTCGACAGCTGTCGAACCTAGTCTTCCTCAGCCGCTCTGCCACAGGCCTTTGGGCTACGCCGTTGCTTGCCAGGGCCCTGGGAATCGCTAGGGAACGGATATGTTCCGAAATTCGGGCAGATGAATTCATCTCATCAGACGCCAGTCCACCTGAAAGTTGAACGCCAAAGTCTGAATCGAAGCAGTACTCGTCTGGATTCGGGAGTTCGGCCTGGGCGGCCAGGTGGCCACCTCGACGCCGTGAAGGTGCTTTTGAAGAGAGGCGCGGCGCATGCGACGGCGTTCGGCTGCGCTGGGCCGTGCTACCCACATGCTTGTCCAAAGGTGCTGATGTGACAATGAAAGACGGTCAGGCACCGAATTCATGCAGGGATTTAGTCAGACTTCCGAAGCCCTTTCGAGCAATCCTGCGAAGAAGATGCCTACAACACTTGAGCCGGTAACTGTGCAGGATAATACAATGTTGCACTACGCCGCCGGTTATGGCCACATGGCTGTCCTTGAGGAGGGGGATCTGAGTTCCATGTTTGTTAAATAGTTTGCTGTAATGAGCTCTAGTTTTAGCAGTAGCTAATCCTCGCTCTCTCAACAGCTGGACATAGCTGGACCCTGCTTCTGCAGGAGTTGCTCGAGGCGTCTGACAAGGTTTGGAAGGACAACGACTGGTGCACCTTCAGAAACAGCCAGGCGCTCAGGCCTTGACACCCCTGAGCTGGTCACAGAAGATCTCCGGCACCGAGGCAAAGGCCAGAGCGTCGTCGACGCAGCGCGTGTGAACAGGAAGGGCCAGGCTGGAGAGTGTCCGTGCAAAGAAGTGAACAGCAAACGACCGCCTCCCTCATCGCTCCCTTTTCATTCTGTCCTCCGTTTCTTTGTTGGCTCTCGCTTCCTGACGTGCATTGTACGAATGTACGAATGGTCAAGGCAAGATGTCTGTGATGGGCCAATGTCTTCCATCTATAACCCCAGTGGTTGCTTTGCCACAGTTTCCTCAAAGTTTAAGTCAGGTTGTGGACTTCCTTTGTGAGCGCCTGGGCGTCGAAGCCCCTGCCAGGACCCGAGTCATTGGGAGAGTCAAATACCTCCGACAATTTCAGAGCCACCCGAACGGATCCAAGGAAGTCAAGGCGCCAATCGCCGTGACTGCGAGTGGCAGCCTGAGGTTTGTGAAGTCTGCAATAATCTCCTAAGCCTAGCCCTGTTCAACGGCTTTGCATGCATATCAACTCTTGAGATGGATTGCCCTGCCCCCGAAGGAAGCGACTCGATAAAAGCCAAGTTGACTTCCTAGTCTTTGAGCGGAGGTCCGGAAGCCGGCAAAGAGTCCTCAGAAGCCGTCCGACACCCGGTTCGGGGATCGGACAACGACCATTAAATTACATGATCTGGCGTGTTTGTGATTAAAGATCACCACGACATTGCATTGCATGCAGTTTGTATGCTTGCCCGTGCATACATACATACGTAAATAAGCATACATACATGTGGTATAATATACTGCCTGCACATGCATGTGATCGAAGTCCTTTGGCCTACGTGGCAGAGAAGGGATTCAAAAGAGCAGCTGCTTCAAGGAGATCCAATGTTCTATGTTTTATCCACGGCATGTTACATTAAACTGTACTTTGCCACAGCCTATCAGACACTTCCTAGAGTCTTCTGGCATGCTGGGGCTGGAAGCTGAGGCTCCGGAACTGTTCGTTTTGCTTGCGAGGAAGATCTTCTCACGATTGGTTTGCCTCTATGAGCCACTGGTACGGTCACAAGTGCGATATACACTAAAGCCCACGGATATTCCTCAAAGGTCATACTGGTCTGCATCACCTGCTGGCCCTGAAACCTTGCACCGAAGCATCCACAAGGATCGGGCCCGAGCTGCACTTCTTGCTGCTGCCGGGGGTAAGGCCGAATGTGGGATTCAAGTGAGAGATGCACATGCTCCGTGCTTTTTTGTTGCTTCTCTCTCTCTCTCTCTCTCGCATATGCATGTATGCATGCATGTATGTATCTGCACGTGTGTATCTATGCTTGAATTGTATTGTATTGTCTTGCATTGCAATGTAACGTGGTATGTTTTATGGGAATGTAAGTCATTGTACTTGCGTGCATTGTATGGTCCTGTATGGAGTTTCAATAATGTAGCAGTGTAGTAGTGTACTGTGGTAGTGTAGTGCAGTGCATGAATGTATGTATGCATGCAAATAATGTGTACGGATGACAGCGTTTCAGTTGTACTAATCATAGAAGTTGTGTACCAGGCATGGAACTGGCGTACTAAGTGTACTAGCTACCTACTCAGTAATACGGTGGTAATACGCGCTGGGTGCTCCGGAAGAGTATAGGGCCAACAATATTCACATGGAAGGCTCCGGCCTCACATTTTGGAGGTTTGGGCCCGGGAAACCTTGAAAACACGTCTACTTTGGGGCTTAAGCGCGTGGGCTTCCCAAGAGCACTCTTTTGAGGTGTCGGGGCTTTGGAGCTGGGTGCTGTTGGCAGGAGGGGGGTAGAGGCCCATGACATTCCTCTTGAGGATTCGGGCCGTCCTAAGAGCACTGTTTGGAGGTCCTGGGCCGTTGAAATCTCGAAAGTGTGCGTGTGTGCTAGGAGCTGGATGCTGTTGGCGGGATAAGGATAAACGAAGCCTGGTCGTGAGGAGGGTCGCAGGAACATGATACACGGATATTCTGAATGAAGGCATGTACGCATCACTTCATGCCTGCCCGCATGTCACCAATTGTAAAATGCGTCTAGTGTGACACTGTCAGCGTATCACACCGAAAAGAAGAGGCCAAAGAGGACAGACAGACATTATCCATCTCAGGTGTAAGAGGCAGGCAACACTCACTACGTACTGCACCTCCACCCCGCACCCGACCCTCTTCAGCGGCTAAAGATAAAGGCTTGCAAAAGGCTATAGTGAGAGTGGCTCCTTCTGCCGACGGACAACTTGCCTCTGCTTCACTGAAAAAGCCATCGCCGGCTGAATCATCGAGGGGAAGTGTCGCAAGACATCGCACTGGCCAAAGCAACGACGCCTTAAAGTCTTAAAGCACGGGCACATCATGGAGCTCGCCCGGTCGACCGGGCAATTAAATTGTCTAGTGATTGAGGTTTGGGAGTTTCTTTTGGTGTACAGTGTTCATGATCGAATTAGAAATCTCTAGTTTTGCTAGTTATCTTAATCTTTCTGTGCTGCAGTCAAGAATCGCATGGAATACCAAAATGCCTCGAGTCGGTGGTGACATGTGCTGAGTCTCTAGCAAACTCTTTGTGGCAAAGGTGCCCGCAGCACCAACCGGAGGAGCTCCACCCCAGGTGGGAGGGGTGGGGGCCAGGGTTCTGTCACGGAATCTTCTGTTTGTGCGAGTCTTTCTTGGTTCCGTCAGGCCGGCGAAGCTGCCACGGCGATGCGAGCTGCGGTAGAAAAGCTGAAGTCCAATCCAGAGGACAGCAAACTCCAGATCATTGGCCTCAAGTTTGGGTCAGTGCCATGCCCTCGCTGCATACAGCCCATTATTGGGACTTTTCACATTGGCTGCTGGTCCCCTCTCTTCTCCACGCTGTGCTGCGGCACGGAGATCTCGGCAGGCGGTCGAGCAAGCCCGCAAGATGATGGGCAAGATTCCGCCACAGATGTTGCAGATGTCCGCGCCTCGATACTTTCGGTTGCGCAATTTCATTTCCGTCAAAGGAACTCATGGCCATCACCAAGTACCAGTACGGGAAATACGGAAATACAAGTAAAAGTTCCTCGATACGCGGGCGGGGCTGCAATGTTATCCTGCTCAGTTGGCAGGCTTTCCGGCAACAAGATTTCAGCCGAGCAGGCACAGAAGGCAAGGCATGCTTCTGACTTTCAGTTTTTGACGGGTGACCGACCTTTTTCGTCTTGCAGGCAATGGACGCGATGTCCGAGATGAGCACCGAGGAGAGAAAATCTTCCAACACAGCAAGGCACAGCTTTCAAATTTCAATCGCGCTCAGGACCTCTTGGAAAAGGCGGATCTGGCGGCCGACAAGCCTTGACCTCAGCCAACCTCTGACGGGAGCGTTGATACAAATCTTCCACCGAGGTTGGAGGGCCAAAAGGAAACCGTACCACCGTCCCCGGCGCTGGGAGCCTAAAGGGAGCCATGCATCAGACACGGGGTACGTCTACGTGGGTTTTTTGTGCACCTCTGCTTTTCTTGTGTCCAGCGGCTTTCAGAGAACCCTTCCATGTTGGCCCATGTTCTCAGGCCTGGTGGCGGAAAGCCAGCACGATCCGTCGATTGAGAGCTCACAAACCCGGCCTTTCACCGCTGTTCATCCGGTTGATTGTCGGTTGATGGCACTCATGATAATATGTTCGGTGTGATACTGTAAGGATTCCGATGTACAGCGAAGGTCACCAGCTTCTGCGACTTTCCGCGACGGAAGTCCGAAGCCAGTCATCTCTCCATCCTTGCTCTTGCCGTATGCACCATGATCGCTTCTGGGTTGCCGAATCGGCAGACCTGAACACGATTCAATGGTTCAGTGTCCATGACCATGGGAGATGGTGCATCCATGTGTTCTCAAGGGTGACCTGCCGACCTTTCAAAGCGCATAGAGTCTTACGACTGCCCTTCAGCTACCGTGTCGAGACTTAGTTGCGGCTTTATGCTCGACAGTGGCAACATTTGCTTCGATTGCCGCACGTTGACCACTTAATCTTGGCTGCGCCCTCTGACTCAGACTGACACAAAGTGTAGCAGAACAGAATGATTGGTGACCGCCACACCCAAGTGCAGGTGTGTTTGCGCCACCCAGTTTTCGTTCTCGTTAAACCAAGTCAGGAGGAGCCATGTGCTAGCCATGTGCAACAAGAAGGGCCCAGAATTGCTTGCGCTGAGCAGCTTGAGTCTTCCACGGACATGTGGCAACCGAAACTCTGCCCGACCATTGAGGCGACGAATCGACCGGTCAAAACGGCTGGTCAACACGACGTGAACAGCCCGCTACTGTATGGTGCAGAGCATACACCGGAACATCGCACGCACGAGAAGTCGTAATGACGAAGCAGATCAGCACGGCTTGGTCAGCTCTGTAGCATGCCAAACCCGTAGTGACCGCAGTTAGCCAGTTGCTCATGGCGGAGGTCCAGGCAATGCAAATGCTGAAGCCGCGAACTTTTGTTGCACTTTGTTTCTCGTTGTCGCGAGGGCGCTCCACCTCCCCCTCCCGCGATGCCATGGGCGGCACCGACCCAGGCACGGGCGGAAATTTTCTGCTGTTATGAGGCAAAGACGCTTGACCATGGCCGAGCCGGACGTGATCGACATAGCTCAGTCTGTCACTGCCGTCAAGTGCATATAGACAGGCCATGCAGCCCCCTCCAGCTCCGCAGTGGAAGCGGCCTATCTGAATTCTGAATCGACAGATTTGGAAGTCTCTTGGGACGCTTCAACTTGCCTCACTAGAAGATGACCGGTTTGCGCAGACTCACAAAGCCCAACTTCGCATGAGCCCAGTCCGCTGAGTCCACCCACTCTGGGTCCGCTGGGCGTGGGTTACGGCGGCTACGCCTCGCTACAGACTCCTCCTACAGCGGCAGCACCGAACCGGCTGCAGGCCAGGTAAGTGTGAATGGATCCAAATCCAAGCCATGTGCTTCGGGCATCAGGTTCACAGCGAGGACTGCGAGGTGGGTTGCAGCAGTTTGGATTGTCAGCCCAATTCAGTTGAAGCCGTTGCTGAAGCCCTGCACCAAGAGCTTCATGATGGACAATGCCTTGTTCTTCTTTTCAGGCCTTGCAAATGCGGCCCTCCCCCGCCGCCAGCCCGTCGAATGCTTTGGCCTGGGCCCAGGTACAGCTTTGAAATCGGGCAAGCGCCCACCTGCCACACAGTCCAACCGACAACCATCTTCAACTTAAAATCACCCGCATGGCGACGAAGGGTAGATCTCGACGGCTATCAGTATCATCCGGGGTAACATGAAACCAAGATGCATTCTACAGAGCCGTCGCCGAAGGGCACCACGATCAAGTTGAACAAGAGTTGAGCTTGGAACTGCATCTCGCATGCAATTGAACTGCATACCTATCATCAATCGGTCGACTCATGGGTAATGCCACCCACAAAGCCTTGCACATATCATTGCAATGGAGCCGAGTCACAGAGACTCATGCCACGCCCCAAAGGCCTGACAAATCATTGCTTGCTCGCCCGAAAAAGAGAAACTGCAGATGCAAGGCCAGCATACTTCGTTTAGCCGAAGGCGAAAAAGTGCAAGGCTGGAGCCTGGCCGAACCAGAAGCACAAAGCAGAAGCAAGACTTTGCGCGGCGTCGGGGATATCCGAACGACACGAACAAACATGTATGGGCTTGCCGTCGCAGATACATACGTTATTGAACTTGCTGCACTTCCGCCTCCATCTGTACCCCGAACGAAGACCCACTTCCAGGCCCCGCGAGGCTCCCGAGGGCGTCCGGAGCTTGGACATCCCAGGTACATGGTCTTGGTTGACATGTGTAGGACTTTTCTAGGGCGTGCTAGTTGCAACAATTCCTCCACTAGATGCGGAGATCTGGGCCTTGAATGATGGGCGAAGAAGCGTGTGTGGTCTCGCGTAGCCAGCGTTGGATGTTGGTATGCAGCGAGGTTTTTGTACGAATGTAGTGTGCTCAGGATCCCGGCAGGAGGTCTATGTGCAAGATCTTCGAGACAACCGCCGCTTTAGGCGCACGACTTCACCACAAGGTTGGACTGCCGTAGGACGCTGGGTTGGTATCTTCGTGCAGGTCTGTCTCAAACCGACGAGCCATTCAAGCGATGAACAGCAAAGCAGGCTGGCAGTGGCGGAGCACAATGGTTCGCGTGCATAGTGCCCAGCGTGCATAGGTGCCAAAGAACGAGACCGAGAAGGACTTTCGCTGCTGCTACTGCTACTGATACTGCTATTGCTACCGCAGTGCTACTGCTACAAGTGGAAGGGGCAATGATGCATGCATGATGCATGCGGAGCCCCCACAGAAGCCAGGAGGGATCGGCGCACTACTTCACTCGCTCATTCACTCACTCCCATGAGCCTCACTCATCGAGTTGTACCTGGGGTGAACTGTGTGCCAGTCGCTGACCCGAGGACTCGGTGCACCAACCCTGAGGCACGTGGCGAAGGCGGAGCGGCTGAATTGCGGCTATCTTCCTAAGTCGCTCGAGGTCCAGTCGAAGCTCCGCGCTGAACCTGCAGTCGCTTGTGTTGCTCGACAGCGATGTGCGGAACCCAGCAAGATTTGGCTTTATTTATGCCGGTCTGCTGACAATCATAGCAGGGTTAATGTGTAGTTGCTGCTGCTGTTGGTGATCCACTGGTCTTACTGGGCTTGGCTCAGTGATACCTGGCACTTGTCTTCGCGAGATTCAGTAGCTGGCATGTATTTACCGACTCACATGTAATCAATGACTGCAGCACAGACAAGCCATCGAGGCCCGGTAAGACGCCATGACGTACTGCTGATGGTTGACTTCCAAGATGCATGCCTTTTCTGAGATGGTGGGAACTGGAGGGCGGGTGGGCCCCTGCAGGAAGGATTGTGCATGTGCGCTAAGAATCAGACATCACGTGCCGAGACCCCCAGCAGTCAGTCTGAGGTCAGCAAATTGACTCTGCTGGACCCGTCTGACGCTTCTATTGCAGAGCAGCTTCTTGCGTGCTGGAGATGTCAGGCCAGTGACCAACCTGTCACAGCGATTAGAGACAAGATCATAAAGCAGCATGTAGAACCACCGAACCTTCTTGAACGAGATATGTGTGTGCCCGTCCTGGTCTTGGCAGGTTTTGCATTGCTAAACCATTAGTTTCTTACGCTGCAGGCCATCGGCCGATCCCAAAGCGCATCCTGCTTTAAGAGTTTCAGCTGTAAGTCCCCATCGGGAGAGTCTCTACAAGCAGCTGACCTGGCCCGATGCGACCGCCTAGCATGGACAGGTCTTTGCCGCGGCCTGCTGTTTCATTTGCCAGGCACCGCTTTGAAAGCTTCGAGTTGGATTCTCGGGGACTCGACATGGAGTGTCCTGCATGAGAGACTTCTCCAGACATCGAAGTCGAACTGATTGCGCAAGCCATGTCTATTTTTAACTGGGTACCACATTCTGCGAACGGTGGAGCCAGCACTACCACGCCGTGTGCGCAAGGTGCTCCTTGCAGGCTTCAGTCTCGCATCGCTTCTTCTGGCCGTGGGCGGTGAGGAGCAGTGCCGCGACGATTCGCGGAGCATGTTTGTCCTGCCATGTCCTGATACTTCCCATGTGGCAGTTACTGACGGGCGAGTTAGTCCAGTTCTCTTTCTTGTAACTGTTTGTGAAGGAGGCGGCCACAGCCAGACTTTGGCCGTACCAGGGTGGAGTCCTACAGGTACTGTCGCAGGCCTCCTCCACAGAAGCTCCGACTGGCCATTTGACAATTGAGATGATGCAAGGTATCAGCCGTGGGAAGTCTCCAAAACGCTTCGCGGGTGCTTCAGGCCAGGCCCTGGCGTCTTGCATCGCAAGCCTTGGGGAACGAAGCGGCCACCGCGCACACGATGCGAAACAGCTGGCGATTGGGTTTCACAGCTGGCGAGATGTTGCCGATCTGGCCAAAGCCTTGCCGGATGGCAGATGCAGAATGGGGGCTGGATAAGCACAGCAGCGAGAGGGAGAGCAAGAGGGAGGGATGACGAACAAGACACATGTACACCAGCAATGTCGGTGCGGGCTTGGCCAGCCGCTTTGTGAACGGCACAGACTGGATCTTGTGTTCTTGGCCGTTTGCGACCATGACCAAGCAGATCTTGCGCAAGACTGACACGACCAGATTTTGTGCTTTTCCAGCAAGCTAGGAGGTAAGGTGCGCAAGCTGGAATGGCCTCCGGCAACTAATTGGATGAGTTCTTGAAGTCTATCACAGTCTCAAAGTTATGTTCAAGCTTGGTGACCTGCGTGTTCGCTCAACTAAAATTTTCCGGTAAGCGTCAACCGTGCAGACGGGACAGTGCTTTCTGCTAGCTGACTTTATGCGGTGGTCTTCCGTCCGAATGTCGGGACAGATGGTACGGCACAGCGGCAGTGTCTGCCAGGCTTTCAAAATCCCAGCGCCTTCCGAGGAGCATTCTGCAGGCCCGCGAAACGAGCTGTGACCATGATTCGCCCCCCCCCCCCCGTGTAGGCACACTGTCGCAACGTGGCCCTCAGAAGCTGTTTGGGTGCATCAATTCCAAGATTCAAGCCAGGTCTGCTGCTGAGGCAGGGAGATTGATCTGGCATTCACCGGGGACGACCCAAAATGCTACCCACTGCTACAGATCGTTATGCTTCGGCATTGCCGGCACTAGGCGACTGATGCTCACGCTGCTGCACAGCTCGGCCAACGTGGCTCTCATCGTTGTTTGTGCACTAGCGAGTTCTCGGACTGAATCGCGCGGAGCCCGGTGATGTCGTCTGTGTGCCCTAGGATGAGCAAGGGATGTGCCTTGCTCTGCGATTGACGCCTTGCGAGGTCTGGCCCAAGCTATTCGCTTCTTCTAGCCGAGGGCCTGCTGGCCCAAGGCCGTGGACACAGAGAAACGCAGGAGCACTGTAGAAGAACCCTTATATCGTAGCCTTTGCCGGAATTCTTGCTCTGAGGCGCCTTTCTTTTCGGCCTGCCTGAGGCAGCTTGGGACCCGGCCCAGCGCCTCTCTCCGAGCCAGCGGATCTTCTGACATTGAGCTAAGGCCCGGTTAATGTCCTCGTCACCTCGGCGCTTCTTTGAGCGGCAGAAGTCATCGCCTGGACTGAGCAACACATAGCAGGGCAGCAGGGATCTGGGACAGCTTTATAAATCTAACTTTTACCCATCCAGCAGCTTGAAGCCTGCCCTTCCTGCTCTGTTGCGCAGCTTTCCAGCAATCCGGTGAATACTGGAGAAAAGTCGGTGAAGACCGTTAGGACACTCCGTTACGATATGCATTGCTGCTTACGGCTTCGAGACTGCCTAGGCCTTCCCATTTCGGTTGCATCGGTTGGGGAACTGTCTCTTGCTGGCTCAACAGCGGTGTGGGCAGTTGAGCTTCTCGGTGGGGCTCGGGCAGCATGTCGAAGCTGAGCATCGACAACTTGAAGAAAGGCATCGTCGAAGCCTCGGGACATGCGTTTGCAGAGCGCAGCTGTCTCAGCTTGAGACTTCTGGCATCTTCCGTTCTGCAGTTTTGCCCAAGGCCGGGATCCTGGAAGGAAGCAAGGAGAAGCAGCGAAAGTTCCTCGAGACAGCTGCAAACTCAGGGACTCGGGCCTGGGATCTTTCAAGCCGTAGGCCATGGATTGTCACTTAGGTGGAGCTTCAGATCGGCCTCAAGGATTACGACACCCAGCGAGACAAGCGCTTCGCAGGACCGGGGGGGGGGCCTAAGTACCCGTCGTTTTAGTTTTGTACATTTTTTGCAGGGCATTCTTAGATTGCAAGCCTTTCGGCCGATTTGCTTTCGGCGGATCTTGCTGATGCCTCAAAGTACCTCAGCATCAAGACGAGACAGGATCGAGAAAGGTAGTAAGGGTGCTTTAAACAGCTAGAAAACAAGTTGGACAGTACGATTTAGTGGCTTCGTTGAGGGTTTCTGCTGCATGCTTTCGGACCATACCAACACGATTCTGTGCAGGCACCATCAAGCTTCCTCATGTGCCGCGTCCGCGCTTGAAGGCCAATTGGGTTTGGGGAAGATCAGCTTATTTGCTGAGTAGGGGCGTGGCAGCCGTCTTGGTACAGGTTCTGCTCTTGACTTGACCTTGTTGTGACAGGTGTGCGTGCTGGGAGATGCCGTTCACTGCGAGCAGGCGCAGCGCGTTTGCCTCTCAGATGCCAGCACAGTCATCAAATAGTTTGCAAACCATGGCACCGTCATTTTAGCTTTTCTTCCCTCTCGCCGTAGTGTCCTGCAGTTCTGGCGGTCGCTCAGGCCAACATCCCCTTCAAGAGCGTGGAGGAGTGCCGGAACACAAAACTTCTCGCATCTTTGAGCATCCAGCAGTGAGCACTCTGGCGCAAGGGCTGTGATGGCTGGGTCTTCGCTTTCAGCTGCCTTGTGTGCTGGTTTCCATTTTACTTGCGACGCAGCAGGACCTCAAGAAGCTGAACAAGAACAAGAAGATGGTGAAGAAGCCACTGGGCAAAAAATGCCGTCCAGATCCTGCGCTTTGGCATGCTTCCAGCAGCATGAAACCACGTTGTTCCAGATGACACAATCGCCCAGCATTTGGACCTCTCAGCTTATGCTTACTAAGGCTTACTAGCTTCATCTTGTGCCTGTGTTGTGCTGGGGGCATCAACGCCCAAGCTGACATAGCTGTGTCGGATGCTTGCAGGGATCGCGGATCGCCAGATGCCCGAAGCCGAAAAGCCCAAAGCACCCGAGGTTTCTCCGGTCTCTGTCCAGAACATACACCGGGCAGTAACAGCAAGGGTTTCAGGTGTTTAAAACGTCAGTGGTCTTGGCTCGTACAGAGGCTCGCGGACAGCTTCGATGCCTTCCTGGCATCGCAGGCATGCCGACTTACTTCTTCACGTACGGCAGAAAGTAGTAGTAGTAGTAGTAGTAGTAGTAGTAGTAGTAGTAGTAGTAGTAGTAGTAGTAGTAGTAGTAGTAGTGGTGGTAGTAGTAGTAGTAGTTAGTAGTAGTAGTAGTAGTAGTAGTAGTAGTAGTAGTAGTAGTAGTAGTAGTAGTAGTAGTAGTAGTAGTAGTAGTCGTAGTAGTCGTAGTCGTAGTCGTAGTCGTAGTCGTAGTCGTAGTCGTAGTCGTAGTCGTAGTCGTAGTGGTAGTGGTAGTGGTACAGTAGTGGTAGTGGTAGTGGTAGTGGTAGTGGTAGTGGTAGTGGTAGTGGTAGTGGTAGTGGTAGTGGTAGTGGTAGTGGTAGTGGTAGTGGTAGTGGTAGTGGTAGTGGTAGTAGTAGTTGTTGTTGTAGCTGTAGTTGTAGTTGTAGTCGTAGTAGCAGCAGCAGCAGCAGTAGGCGCCCCCCCGCACCTACTACACTTGCTCTAAGCTGTCTTAAGAATGCATCTGTTTAAGTCGGTATATGCGGTACTTTCGGAATGTCCTGCCACTTCGTGTTGTCTCAAAACCTTCTTGTCGACTTTGCAAACTTGAGCTTCGGATGTTGGAAGAGGTTCGGGGGGGTGGCAGAGTAAAAGGCGAGGGCGGGGGCCGGGGGGGTAATGGCAACACGCCTGCGCACCCCTGCATTTTGCTCGGTATCTACAGTACCGTCGTAATGTCCTACCACTGGCGACACCAAGAACAACAAGACAACAAGTAACACCACCACTACCGCCACCACCGTCACCGCCGCCGCAGCCGCTGCCACCGCCGCCACCACCACCACCGCCACCGCCACCCCACCAGCTGCACCAGCTGTGCACCAGCACCAGCACCGCCACAGCAACAGCCGCAGCAACTACAACTACAAGTACAACATGTTGCAACGACTCTTCACGATCTCTGGCACCATTGTAGGGGTCACTGTTCTTTTGAGCTGAGGGTAGGGTTGCAGGACAGGCACGGTTGCTTTGTGTTTCGTGTTCGGGTTGCTCAAGGAACGTTACATCGTTTTCCAACCTATTCATAGTGTCGCGCGAAGTTGTGGAACGGCCTCGGCACAGCGCCCTTGCCATGAGTTCCAAAGTGTCCGGTATGTCCAGTATCTCTTGCTTCAGGTGCTGATCCCACAGATTCCCAGATTGCTGGGGCCCGGCCTGAACAAGGACTGGAGGGGTCTGGCGATGACAGCACCATCGTGGAGTGCCTGATGGCTCTGTTTCGTATCCTTCACAAGATCTTCTAGATGTCACACTTGGTTTCAGCTGAGCTGCATGCAGCTTGGCGCGTGAGCGCTCCTGCCCTGCAGGCCGGAAAGTTCCCCACTCTCGTGCAGCACTCTGACAATCTGGAGACCAAAGTCACCGAAGTGCGAAGCCAGGCGAAGACACGCCGGTGCAATTTCTTGCAACATGAGCACGGCGCATGCCCATGTGGGCAGGTGAAGTTTCAGCTCAAGAAGGTGCTTTGCATGGGCGTTGCAGTCGGCAACGTCGCCATGACCCCGGATGAGCTGAGGCGCTCGGGGGGCACATGGGACGAGCGCTGACTTTTGTGCAAGACACACCGGCTTCCGACGACTGTTTGGGCTCATGGCTTGCGTGTGTGTTTGCGTGCAGCACAGGCAGAACTGCCTGATGGCCATCAACTTCCTCGTGTCACTGCTGAAGAAGAACTGGAACAATGCAGCTCGGTCTTTCCTCGGTCGTTGATTCTTGAACCAGGGAGGAGAAGACAGATAATCAGATCCAAGAAACCAAGAAGTGAACTGACCCAGCGCTGGGCTTCTCCCATGCATGCAACAATCGGAGGACGAAATTTCGCAGCTACTGTTGCCGTGCTGGCAGGTGAAGAGACTGCACATCAAGAGCACCATGGGCAAGCCTTTCACGATTTACGGATGAGATGCTGAGACGGGCTGCCCCTGGACAGAGAGTGGCTGCCCAAAAGAATTGCTGCCTAGGCTTCGCGGTCCGTGCTTGTTGGGTTCGAGCGCCGTCAAGTGTCTCGTGAACTCGTATCGTCTTCAGATTGGAAGCATTTGGTGTTGCTACATGGCTTACTGCTAGAACAAAGTGTTAGGCGCGATAGGAGCACACCGTGATACCCAAACCGCTTGCCACGCTCAGCATTCCACGAATGACCCAGATTGCCGAGGTGCAGCAATGTGCGAGCTTCCGGTAGGGTCTATGCCACCATGTTCGATATCTTTGTCCATGCTTCCGCTCAACCGCTGCTCCCCAGCCAGCAGGTGGTAAAGTGATCACTTTTAAGAACTGCCGGCACATTCTCCATTCTAACCGAAGAGCATGGATGTCTTTTTACTGCACCCCACTGCAAGCGCCACCGATGCAGAAGCCAAGCCCAACAACCACACCATCTGAACTAGGACAAGGGTCCTGCATGCCCACCCATGAAAGGCCATGTCAAAGCATGCCCATGTCGCCACTGAAGCGCTGCTTGGACTGATCTTCGAGGGGCTCGGGCCGTTGCCTTCTCACAGGCGCTTTGCCCTCTGAGGCAAGTCAGTTCCGGTGACTTGGAGCAGCCTCTGGGACGAAGTTTCGCTTGAGCATGTGCATGCAGCACTGCCGCCACTGCCATCCAGGTTCTTCCAGTTCTTGCAATGCCAGCTTCGAATGGAAGCTGGCCACTGCATGGGAGAGGCATTGGAGCTGCAGGATCAGCAGGCCGACTCGCACGTTCTCCTGCTGCACCTCTTGTTCCCCAAGTCTGCGAAGGCTAGAGCGATCTGGCCATACTTTGAAGAATGGGTCCAGCCCAACCTCGGCAAGAAGGACTTGAAAAGTTGGAGAAGAAATCCAGGAACGCTTGTCTTGGGACAGGAGAAATGGATGCCCTTCCATACAGCCTCTTGGCCTGCATGGAGTGTGTCACGAAAAATCGAGAGCAAGCTCTTGTACACAGGTCTTGGGTGCCCATGAACTCTTCATCGTGGAGAACATCCACCACAATCCTGAGCTACAGTGGGATGAGAAGTGTGACTTGGACCTGCCAAGTCTTCCGCAATGCAAAGACGAGCTCACGTGCTTGTCAAGGCCGATTCTTGGCGATGTTCGTGCCTTGCTCTTGGTTCGACAACTGGATTCTTCGTGAGATGGCACCTTGAACCCACCCTGTAAATTGAATCGAGGTTTAGGGCACACTGCCGCGGCACCATCTTCCGAGCAGCTTGGACAAATCCCAACGATTGGGCGACATTT